ATGAAGTCGTCGATGTTTTCTCTGCCTCGTGTGCTTCTTATAGAGTTTTTGCCTTGTACAATCCCTACTAATAAGGTAAGAAAGTTATGTTTAAACAAGGATTCTTTTTTAAATTAGAATCCTTATTATACACAACTTCCTTCCTTAATAATATATTTAAGGTTTTCCTTATTTATATTGACTTGTACCTTTAATATATTATTTTGACTTTGACAAATAACTCTATGTTACTTGATATTGGACTTCTTTCGCTGCGTACATTTTCTACTGTTCTTTGCGCTTTTTGTCTATCATCAAAACGAATTAACGATTCTATCACATTCTATCAGTAGTGAAATATGTGCAATTATGTAGTTTTTCCTACTTCTACTAAATAAATTTTTTCCTAGGTCCAATTTTTATTTTTATTTTCAAAAAGAGGAACATTCAAAAATAGCAAAGACTTGAAACATAATGAGGTGAAATAACTATAGTTTATTTAGTTACGGTTCATAGCTCCATGTCATGAAAGGAGTAAGGTGAACAAGATTAAAAAAGGAAGAGAGATGCGAGAGGGCATAGAGAAGAGAGAGGCGAATTATTTTCATATATGTATTGGATAATTATATATATGCAACTAGAATATCCATGTATAAATAGTTGTATTTGTATATTTGTTAGATAATATATATTATATATATATACCTCTGACCGTCAACATGTGCACTTCCTCATATTTAACAGCTTAGTTTACTGGTCGCAGCACGACATCTCATGCACAGGGTTTTAAGATCAAACCTAGCTAGGCAACACTGCTTCTTTATTCCTATTTTTAAGTTAGCCAATTTACTCGATTTTGGCTTTTCGGTGGGACCCCATTCAGTTTCCTTTTTAATTAACACTAGATTAATTATATGATGAAACATAATAAAAGTGAGATGTTGCTTGGTTTGATCTTAGGACCTTATAAAGTGAAATGTCATGCTGCAACCACTAAGCTAAACAGCTAAATATGAGGAAGATCACACATATTGACGGCCAGTTGTGTGCCGTAGCCTCTTCTATATATGTATGTAGTAAAGTAAAGTAATATTTTATCTTTATGCATAAATTACTATATAATATACACAAATTCATTTACTTGTCTGGATAGTATAGAGTACTCATGTATTTATTACTTTATACTTATTGCACTTTTTTGTGCATATGCCTATCCTATTATTTTCGCATTATTGATTTTCTTTTATATATTAATGACGTAATATGGCTACCACAAATGTTTAAATATCTTTCTTTTAGTATATAATGTAATTGATTTATGTTTATTGTTATTGTAGGTAAATCGAGTCGTGGCACTAGACTACTTCAACGATGATATTTAGCTAATAAAATTTGAGTTATGAGTGTTCGAAGATGTTTCTGCGTCTGAAGAGTGCTGTCATTGTCTTCCCTTAAGCAACTCCGATTTGTTTTAAACTACTTGGTTCTCCCCTAGTAAATATAAATAACCTTGCAAAACATATATAAATATATATTATCCATATTCACAACTTTCTATCTAATTTCATGTGTGAGCGTGTGAAATGTCATCCATATATATGTGTGTGTATGTACCAAAAATGAAGTCAATATAATGAATTAAGGCCCCTACATATATGATGGTCCATCTAAGCTTTGAAGTTACAGCTTCTCATAGAGTAGTATTATTGCTAGGGCCTGCTTATTGTTGGTACGTACCATTTGGATCATATTCATATAATTTTCTCTTTTAATTTGTTCAATTGTCAATGGTGGCTCCCGACCATCACATGTGGGAAACTATGTGTACAACTTACATAAGTACAAGTGAACCATTTGTGAAGTACTTTTGTGTCTTTTGAGTCTAGTCAAATCATTCTTCCATCATAACTGTTTATTTCTTTTTCTCTCTCACTTTATTCATCAATTTTAACGACTATTCCTATTCTGGAAAACATATCACTTTAACATTTTCAATACACCTATCTATATACATCACCTGTGTAATGTCTCGACGCTAACATGAATCTTATCAGATTTCGATACATTTAGATACACGTATTTTGGGTCAAAATTAGATAAAAATTTGTTCTAGATACAATATATTCAACTGAATTTGCATGTATCTCTTAATAATGTATGTCTAATAAGATAGTTTTTCCCAAAAAAATAAATCATGTCTTATTGTATTTATGATGATATTATCATTTTAATGTATAATAGAAATTAAAACTCGTTTAATAATGTTATAGGAATATACTTGAATGGTGATTTATGAGATAGCTTCCCTTTCTTAATTAGGGAAGAATTTCTTTTTTTCTTGGCTTAACACTAACGTAATCCTAAAATTAAAGACCTTCATGCACCAGTCATGTTCTCTTGATTTAATCTTCTCTTTCTCTTTTCAAATGGCAAATAGAATAAGCTAATAACAAAGTTAATTAGCTCATATTTTTAGATATTACTTTATTTTATTCATTTTGTATACAATTTGAAATCCTTAGAAAAACAAAGAAGAAGCAATAGTATGATTCTTTATTATGTGATTATGATTTTAAATTTTTTATGTTTAGAAAATATTAGTATATCTCATTACAGATTTGAATATTGTCAGGGGAATTGAAGGTGAAAAAATTTAAAATTTCATCGTTGGGATTTTTAAAAGCCCTCAAAACTGATAAAAGATTTCGTTGATTTCTTGAAAAATTAATGATTGAATGTCATTTTGAAGTTGTGATTAAAATCTTTATTTATTCAAAAAAGATTTGAGCTATTTGATAATGTTATTTTTTTACTCATTTTTCGTAAGTTAAAATTTGAAGGAGACGAAATCCAATTTTTGTACTAGTAAAGACCTATGTTGCTTGGATTTTAAAAAAAAATCATCAAATACATGTTGGATTACAAATAGTGTATTTTTGGAGGATCCAAGTCCGACAGGAAAGACAGTGATGATACTATCAAGAGTCAAGATTATATATCACCTTTCTGTTTGTATGAATTTTTCCCCTAACAGTTTGTACAATAAGCCAAGTGAAGTACATATGTTGAACATTTTCTTGTCTGTGCTAATTTTTCTCAGATCACATGATCAGATTGGCATTAACTTGCTCCTATTTTGATAATAAACATGAGTAGGAAAGAAAAAGTAATTAGACAGTTTAGTGCCTTGTTAAAAAAATTATGTATCGTTAAATTAGAAATAATTTTATATAATTACATTGAATTATTTAATATGGGCATTGTGTTGGAATTGAGAATGAAGTACTCTAGATTTTAGATAATTGTAGTATTTATTTTTATATGAATAATTGTTTTATTTACTTATTTGTTGTAAAATATTAGCAATATGAAATTATCTAAGACAAAAATTATATAGACAAGATATATGGGAGAATGTTTTCTTATTTCTTTCTGTACTTTCGATTAAAGAATGTTTTCTTATTTCTTTCTGTACTTTCGATTGATTCTTTAATAAAATAATCGTCGCCTATTTATAGTACAAAATGTCTTTTCAAAGTTACATGAATTAAAGTGTTCATTTATTGCATACATGAACTTCAAAGAAAGTTACGGATGAGCTTTGAAGTGAGCTACAAATGACATTCGCATTAATGCATTTATTACACTCCCCCTTGGATGTCCATAGATAATGTGCCTCGTTAAAACCTTACTAAGAAAAATCCAGAGGAAAAAAGCTTAGTGAAGAAAAAAGAGTACACACATCTTGTAATACGCTTTGAGTGCTGCCTCATTAAAAACCTTACCAGCAAAAACCCAATGGGACAAAACCATGGCTAACGGAAAAAGAGTACAACGCGTATTTCTCCCCCTAATGAAAAACTTATTTGATATCTTGGAGACGACGCACCCCAATCTTATATCTTAGCTTCTCAAATATTGACGTTGACAAAATGCCTTAGGGAATAAATGTGCAAGATTATCACTCGAACGAATCTGTTGAACATTTATCTCACCATTTTGTTAAAGATCATGTGTGAAAAAGAACTTAGGTGAAATATGTTTTGTTCGTCTCCTTTGATATATCCTCCCTTTAATTGTGCTATGCAAGCAGCATTATCTTCATACAATATTGTTGGAGTCTTTGTTTGCACAAAAAGACCGCATAACTGTAGAATGTGTTGGGTCATTGATCTTAACCATACACTCTCGACTGGATTCATGAATGACTATTATCTCTGCATGATTTAAAGAAGTAGAAACTATTATTTGATTTATCGAACGTCATAATACAGTTGTACCTCCACAAGTGAATAAATAGCCTATCTGAGATCGGGCTCTATGCGGATCAGACAAATACCCTGCATCTGCATAACCGATCAATTCTGCCCTTTGTTAGAAGTCAAACACTTTTTATTCATTGTTCGCCATCCTTGAGCATCAGATGGTTTTGACATACTTTGACTAACACAACGATCATTTTAATTGAAAGATCGCTCCTCACTTTCAATATCTTCAATTGAGCACATAGATTTAAGCCCTTGATATTTCCCTTGAGCCCCTAGTGCAAGAAATCATATCAGATAAACATTAACAATAAATTCAATTCAGTTCTAAAACATGATAAATTATAGAAATCATACTTGATGAATTTGTTTTGATATATTGCATAAGTTCCTCTATAGATGAAAATGATGGAATAAGTCATTTCTCAATACTCAAGTAGTTTTTATTCATTGTTCTCACTCCTTGAGGATTAGACATAGATCTAAGACCTTTTCCTCGTCCCTTTGCAATCACACCTACTATGAGATAAGAGACAGTAAGAAATTAATATTAAAAAGATCCTTGTACAAATAAATAACACTAAGAAAAATTAAAATCCATACTTGTTTCAGTTTATTGATTTTATTGCATAACATGATCAGTAGATGGAGAAAATGGAATATCAGTTCTTGACTCCATAGATTTAAGACCTCTTCATCATCCTTTTCCTATAGAACTCGATGGCACATATGCATATTGAGTAGTAACTTTCACTCTAGATATCACCTGATTTTCATCCTTTGATGATTTCATATCATACCTATCAAAAAAAACAAAGACAATGTGTTAACAAAAAAATGAAAAAACATTCTAAAAATCATATGCTTGGCAAAAAAGATTAAAACACTATAAAAATAATGTACTAATAAAAATCAAGTTTCAAAATGTATAATGATGAATATGCAAAAGCTTAAGGAGATATTCACCTCAATCATTTTTTTCGTTTATTTTGTGAAGAATTTTCTAAATCTTCAAATTCATTGTCCTTTTGTTGGACAATTTCATAGGAATCACGAGGTTGTACCTTTTTCGCTACACACCAACCTCTATTGGAATTATCAATAGCATAAAATACTTGAGAGGCTTGAACAACTAATACAAAAGGCTCATTTGTTTTCAGAAATCGCCCCTAATTTACACTTACAATGCCATACTCATCTATTTTCACTCCCTTTGTCTTATCATATGCATCAAACCATTTGCATTCAAACAAAACAACTCTTCTGCCCGTGAATTGCAATTCAAGAACATCAGGTTAAAACTCCATAGTAATCAATGTTCTCACTATGTTTATTAGTTTCACCAATGACAACCATGCCATAATTTTGAGTCCTTAAATTTTTATCTTAATCTTCTACATGAAATCTATATCCATTGACAATGTAACCATTATAATGTAATACATATTTAGTAGGACCACGTGAAAGTGTGAGGAGATCTTCCATGATTTGGCTATCATCTTCTTCATGCAATTGTGCAACCTATCAACATAATGAAATTGATCCCTTTTAGATGGGTAACTTATTATTAGATTTTCAAATTTAATGTGAATATATTAGGATTACTCACATTATCTTGAAACCATTCAATAAATTGTCTATTCTATTCATCATCAAACAAGTGTTGAGTAGAATCAATATGAATTTGTGCAAACTCTCTACAAATTTAAATTGAAGCACAAATGTCATACAAAAAAGTGATCCTAAAGAAAAAAAACGCAAGTATGATGTGTAGAAAAAAATCATACTATAAGAAGGGTAGAACTTTATCGCAATTCTTTAGTATGTATATATGTGCTTCCTTTAATTCATTTGCTTCAAGATCACGCTGTTTCGGAGCCTCAGTGTTTTTCCAGATTGACAAAATAAAGATATTCCTCCATCAGATCTTTTCAGACAATCATCATAGTTTCATTTTGGCCTATTAAATTTTGTGTCAATTGTATGCAAATATCTTGAACATAAATTCATACATTCATGTGCAATGTAACCCTCTGCAATACAACCTTCTGGCCAAGCCCTATTACCAATGAGAGATTTCAAAAAATATAAACATCGTTCTATAGGATACATCCATCGATACTGGACAGGTCCACCAAGCATAGCTTCATTAGCTAAGTGAATAGGCTAGTGTACCATGACATCAAAAAATGAAGACGAAAATACCTTTTCTAACTTGCAAAGAGTTATAGGAATTTGTGCCTCAATTTGCTCCAAGTCTTTAATCCTTAATGACTTAGCTCCAATCATATTAAAAAATAAAGACAATTTAATTAGTGGTTCACACACTTCTTTGGACAACATATCATGTAGTGCAAGAGGGATTAAATGTTGAAGAAGAACTTGACAATCATGACTTCTTAAATTAGAAATTTTGTGATCTTTCAAGTTAACACACTGAGAAGTATTTGATAAAAATTCATCTGGAACCTTTAAATTTATCAAAAACAAACAAAAATTGTGTTTTTCTTGTGGAGATAAGGTGTAACATGCAGTTGGAACTTCATATTTGTCACCTTTCTCGATAGGGTGCAACTCTGGCCTTATATTTATTTCTTTCAATTTTAGCCGAAGATTAATAGTGTCCTTGGTTTTTCCTTTGGCATTCATAATTGACCCCAAAATGTTGTCACATATATTTTTCTCAATATACATAACATTCAAATTATATCGCAACACAAGAGACTGCCAATATGCAAGTTCAAAAAAGATACTCTTCTTGTTCCAATTATGTTTTCGACTATCATGTGATATTTTGATTCTTTTCTTTGGTTCCATTGTTAACTGCAACCCCTCAAGATCTTAAACTTGATAAAGAATCTCAATACCAGAATATTTTTTCGGTGGGAGCGTCTTCTCTTCTGTACCATCAAAGGAGTTCTTACCATTCCTCCATTTGTGATTACGAGGAAGATAACGACGATGACTCATATAACATTGTTTCTTACAATTGGTCAATCTGGTTGAGGAAGTATCTTTGTTGCAACATGGGCATGCCAATTTTCCTTTCGTACTCCATCCAGATAAATTTTCATACGCTGGAACGTCATTGATGGTCCATAACAAAGAAGCATGTAACTTAAAATTCTGCTTGGTTGATGCATCAAAGGTCTCAATACCAATATCCGATAACTCCTTCAATTCTTCTATTAAAGGTTGAAGATATGTGTCAATCGCATCACCTGGACCATCTGGACCAGGAATAAGCATGGACATGATAAAGTTTTCTTGCTTCATACACAACCAAGGTGGTAAGTTATAAGGAATAAGTACCACCGGTCAAATGCTATATGAGTTTTTTGCATTCCGAAATGGTTGAAAATCATCGCTCGCAAGTCCAAGTCGAGCATTACGAGGCTCGACTACAAATGAAGGATGAAATTCATCAAATGATTTCCATGCCATTGAAACAGTTTGGTCCCTCATTATTCAATCATCAACTCTTTCATCATGATGTCATGTCATTAGATAAGATGTCTTTGAAGACTTAAATAACCTTTGAAGTCTAGGCTTTAATGGGAAATAATGCAAAATCTTTGATGCTATCTTTTTACCCTTTTTGTTCTTTAATTTTCCATTACGTTTATCAACTTTCCATCCGAATTCGCCACAAACTTTATAAGAATCAAGTAATTTATCCTCTTTTCAATATAACATGCAATCATTTCTACAAGCATCAATTCTTTCATTGAAAAGTCCAAGATTCTGAATTACCTTCTTTGCCCCGTAATATGTATTTGGTAAATCGGCTTCATCAGGCAACAACTCATCCTTTAGCATTTTTAACATCATCATAAATGACTCATTACTCCAATGAACCATATTTTTTATTGAATAAACTTAATCAAAGTTGAAAGTTTTGAAATTTTTGAACCTTGATAAAGTGGCTTCTCAAAGTCTCCCAATAGGCTATAAAACTTTTTGGCTTCAACATTTGATTCCTCTTCATGTGGCTCATTAAAATCTACATATGCAATGTGCATAATGGTTAGGATAGAAATCTTTCGAAATTTCTTTTATTTCATCCTCATTTTCACAATTTTCTGCTTCATTATCATCTCTATCTTCACATTCTGATTCTGGCTCACCGTAGACTTCCCCCACGATGATACCAAAAGATATAGTTTTTAATTATTCCATAAACTTTCAAGTGTGTTCTGACTGTCTCACGTGTTCCTAATGTGGTATTACAATATTTGACACATGGACATCATATTTCATACATTGTTCCTGCTCTTTGAAAAGCATAATTTAAAAAAATTTCTACCCCGATAAAGTAGGCCTCATTATGTCGATCATCAACAAGTTGCATCCATGGCTTACTCGGTGCCACAACCTTTGATTATATGTAAGAGTTAGATGAATAACAGTTTAGGATAACAAGTTTATTAAGATGGACATTAGTTTCTATTAAACAGGTCAAATCATCCTAATGATAAAAAATAAATATGTAAATAAACTAATAACATCTTTTTCTTTTAATTGAATATGTGTTTTCACATATAACAAAACTCAAAGGTCTTAACAAATGCAAATTCTAGGTTAGTGAACTTCAAATAAAGACGACATGTCTAGATTCATCAAGAAAAACAACAACGAGACCATATTGATTTGTTGATTTATTAAATTCTTTCATATTAGATCTATTTATGACAATATGCTAAAATGTTATTCATAAATTTATGTTTCAAGGCTACAATGAGCGATGAAAAAAGTTCCAACTCAATAATAGTAATTCAAAACACTACACACTACCAGTTAAACTTAACAGATCTAAAGTTTCATTTTTCATCAACGTGAACTAGTGCCCTTTTTCATGCTTCACAAAGCTGAACTTATCAACAACTTCTCCAACATTTATTTTTATCAAACTACACAAGGATCCAAACAATTTCAGTAATACATCTAGCATCTAATTGAAAGCAACCACCAAAACAACCATAAAAATTCTAGTAGGTTAAAACATGAAAATGCGCCAAAGTAGTAACTTTAGAACCCAATATGCAGCAGTAGTTGTAGTAGAAAATACCAATTAAAACAACAAGTGAAACACCAAAAAAAGAAACTACAATCAGATGCTTTATCAATTCTCATTCACAATTTCGTTTCTTTTTCGTCTAATCTTTTTGGTGTAATTATATTTCAAAATAGAATACAATAGTTATACAGTATAAAAAAACATTCAAATTCAAACCACATAAACTGAACATTTAAGCAGTCTACTAACCCTTAGAGACAGTGTAGTCAATACAATTTTGTGTACTAAATAGAAAATTTTGCTGGAGCAAAGTTTGGATATGAAGGCACTTATTAAGCAGAGTATTACAGCTTTACCAAAATGGTACTATCAAACTCATGATTATTGTAAAATAAGTAGCATCCAGCTTTTTAACAAAATAGTATAAGAAAGCTTATGGCATGCTCTCCTTTCCTCAACCCGAAGCTTAAAGACACTAATGGTAAAAATATTCTACGTATTCATCACCTGATAGAATTTTTATTTTTTTTTGCAATGCCAGCTTTACCAAAAATTCTTGGCAGCTCAAGCAATTACACAATCCTAATAGAGAAAATCTTAAATTAACTCTCAAATATCTCCTCTTTGAACCTCAACCTCAAGCCTTACCTATAAAACCATCATGTTCAGACCTTACACAATAACAATGAGTATCTATAAGAGCCCTATCACATAAAAGTGATCAGTAGAAAGAAAAATGTCAGATTTCCAGAAAAAGAAGGGAAGATGAATCGGGAGGAATAAATCTACTTTAGATGTAGATACAATTTGTAGGTGAAACGTTTTTCTCTCAATAATGTCTTCAAGCTTCAAGCTTTAGGAGATTTTTCTTCCAATAATGCCTTCAAGCTTCAAAGATTCAAGAGTAACAAGACTTCTATGCACAACAATTTTGGCAGAGAAAACAAAAATAAAGTTACTTCATCTTCAGATATTTTGGCATACTGCTAGAGAGAGAGAAAATCTAATACCTTTATGTAACGACCTGTTTAGTCGTTTTGAACAGCAGATTTTATTTCTGGAAAAACAGGCTGAGGCGACGAACCGCACGACGGACCGTCATGGGCACGACGGACCGTCGCAAGGTCTCGTTTCAAAACACTTAGAAAATCTGAAATTGGGTACTGAAAATCGACTCTCTGAACTTCGTAACGAAATGGCAAGACGGACCGTCACAGACTCTTTGGTGGAAATTGAGTCTCTGAATCTTGCGACGACCTGCAGGACGGACCGTCGCAGGTTGCGTAATCCTAGTCTAGGTCGGATTTCTTATACGTTTTAAGGGATGTTTTTGACTATTCCTGCTTTAATTATAAAGTTAGTGGGTTAATGTTAATAAGTCTAATTACTTGTGGGTTAAAATAGATAACCTTAAGTTAATTAGTGGGTTATTATTGCCATCTTTTATTCTTAATTATATGCTAATTAGGGTAAAAGAAAGAGGGTTTTGAATAAAGAAAATAGAAAAAATAAGAGAAAGAGAGAGAAAGTCGAACGAGAAAGAGGAGAA